TATTACACACTGAGCGTAAAATAGTTTGAGTACTTCAATGGGCATAACGTCACGCACTAACATTCTATAATTACGTAATAAGCACGTCTGCGGACACACATTACGTGACATGGTAAAGAAGCTACGTCAAGGTTGATCATAAGTGACAGAGCCGTTTTCTAGAACCTCGATATATTTTTTGATTTTTATATACGATATTATATTCTAAGTTTTTAACATTTTGCTAAAAGTTAAACGAAAATTATTAAGTATATTTAAAAACCATGAATTACCATGAATGAAATTTACGCCCTATTTAACGGCTGTATTCAGGGACAATCCCGATTCATTTGTGTAACATAACTTTATATTTACACTCAAGTATTGACATTATGAAGTTTTAGTTTTACCTTAGATTCAGTTCGCGTAATTCGGTACATATATAAACTTTTTTAAGGAGTTGTTCTTAAATATTTGCTTTAAACATTAGGTTATTATAACGGCCACTTTTAATTGTTTTTGTAATCTAAGCAGAAACTTGTTAATTTTTAAAGTTTTTCAAGGTTATCAGCCTTGAAAACTTTCGAGTGAGCTGAAGAGCTCGCTACCTTTGTCAAGCATAAAGATGTAATATTAAACTCGTAACTATGTATTTTCGATATTTTACAAAGGAGTCTTCAAGGCAAGATTGAATAGGCTTTTGTTACGCTAAGACAGTGTGATTTACCATCTAGGGCTGCATCACCACTTACCACCAGGTGGGATTGTGGTCAAGCACTGGCTTATAATAAGTAAAAAAAAATGTTTATTGTTTACTATTGTATACATTGTTTTAAGCGTATTTTATTTTGATTTGATGATGATTCGATCACTGCATACGAGTAAAAGAAATACTTTTATTTAAAATAATTGTAAAAAAATCTTTGTACCGTAGCGTAGTATAAATAATTTATTGACAGAATAAACTCGGACAAACTGTTTGATAATTAAAATATATCCAAACATTAGGAAGACAGTTCCTCGTAGAAGAGGTATGGTCAACGTAAGGGTTATTGTGAATCAACGAAATTAGAAATCGAGCTAATTAAGAAATAGTAAGTATTTTGTACACACAAAACGGAGATCTTGACTTTTGATAACTTGACAAGAAGGACGGCAATAAGTTTTTCTATATGACCTCACTTCATTTAGCACAAATAGATATCAATTAATTTCATGCATTTTTGATAAAATAAATGCCATCCCTTATTTTCAAGACCTCTTAATAGCAAAGTAGAAATATAAATGTACACGTAACAATTTCTTTTTACAATCGCACGACGGTTTCTAAATCAGCATGGCTTATAATCATGTTTACATACCGAGTTACTTCGCTGACTCAATATGGCTGACATTAGTTAATCTCTTAATCTAGAACTTTCGTAATAAAGTCAAGCGCTATACAAAGTGAGCCCCTTAATTACGGTTCCGTACGCTTAAGGCTATTTTTTCAATAGAAAGGATTAAAGTTAGATTTGCTAGTGTATGCCAGTGATTAAACAAGTTCATCATAATACTCATAACTTCATAGATCAAATAGATGAATTAACTCACATTTGTGAACGTCGCAAGTTTTATCTTATCTGATGACAACAACTGATTCACCTCATTGCGAAACTTGTGGAGTACCCAAAGACTAACATCATTTAGTAATGGAATGGTACCGAGGAACAAGAGAATGCCTAGTCCCTCGGTACCAAGGGCAATAGGTAGTAAGGGCATACCTACAAGATAAATGTGTACAATATGGGTATTGCCACAGTTTAATACTCGCTCTACTAAAGGCATTCTACATACCCCATCTCGGATATTGCATTAAGTATGTGCAGATTAATGATAAATGTATAAGAGTTATAATAGGATTGACAAGTTCACAAACTAAAATCCATAAATATAATAAGAAAAAAAAAGTATTGAATTGATTTATAGTAATTCTAATGAGAATACGAGGGCGGCACTGAAAATTTGGGGAATCAAGGAAGTGACACAACATTACTATTTAAAAATGTATTTATTGCTTTTCGTAGTATTCTCCGCGAAATTTGACACATTTTTCCATACGATGGAACCAATCATTGAAGCAACCATTCCATTCGGAAGTTGGGGTCTCCAAAATGGCCGTTTTGTAGGCGTCCACGGCTTCTTCAGGTGATGAAAATCTCTGTCCACGCAATTTATTCTTTATTTTAGGGAAAGTATAGAAATCATTAGCGCTTAGGTCGGGGCTGTACGGCGGATGGTCTAATAATTCTGTGTGCGGTGTGAGAACTCGCATTGTCGTGATGGAGGATGATGCGGCGGTTGCAGTTCTCTTTACGGAGGTCAGAAACGACCTGTGGCAAACAAATGCTAGCATACCATTCTGCATTAACCGTTCTTTGTCCCTCAAGAGGAATAGTCGTAACATGGCCGGTTTTGGAGACAAACGTGGCCACCATTTTTTTTTTGCAACACTCCGTGAACGAACAATTTTTGTTGGCTTTAACTCATTTTCTAACACCCAAACTCGTGATTGGTTTTTTGTTTCGGGTTCGTCTTACGCGTATATGCAGGATTCGTCACCTGATACGATGTTGTATACAGCATTTGAGGATCCTGCGTGGAATCTTTCGAGAGTTCTGACGCACCAAGTAACGCGAGCCGCTTTTTGCTCTTCACAGAGCGAATGCGGTATCCATCGAGAAAACAACTTTTTTACACCTAATTGTTCATGCAAGATTATTTGTATTTGACTCATGCCAATGTCTAAAGTTGCCTGAATTTCGCGGTATGTCACATGTCGATCTTCCTTAATCAGCTTACGCACAGCATCAACGTTTTCTTGGGTGACTGCAGTTTTTGGACGACCTTGACGGAGATCATCACTGAGCTTGACACGGCCACGTTGAAATTCAGCAAACCAGCGATAAATTGTGGTTGTGGATGGGGCTTCATCACCAAATGCAGAAATCATCCGGTCAACACACTGTTTTTGTGTTAAACCACTTCGAAAGTCATAATAAATCATCGCTCTTGAATTTTCTCGAGTCAATTCTATTTTCTCAACGACTAAACAAGTTTGACAAAACCTTGTGATAAGACCGAGAATCTTTTTTTAAATAAATAAATGGTATTCGATTTTTAAAATCAAAGACTTTTCAATTAAAAAGATTTTAATATGACAAGAACAGTGGAAATATTCCATTCCCGATACTTTTAGTGCAGCCTATGTATTATGCAAAACGGCAACGAAAGTAGTTTGAAGACGATATCATTATTTTTCTCGAGATAAGCGTGTGCGTTCGTTGTGTTATATCCGTGAATTATTGTTATACTCATTCCTTAGGTTATACGTTATTCCCATTGTACCTAGTCAGCGTTTTTGGAGCCTCGCAAGTGAGAGTCCCTTGTCCCCCATCTACATTATACACAAACATCCTTTAGAAAAGTAGATCTATGGTCGTATACAGAAAGAAAGCCGGCAGCCGGCGCCGATCTACCAGCGCTTATCGGCGCAGTATTCTGGTAACAGTTACATAAAGCAAGCCGATTGAAACAGAGCGAGCAAAATGTCGAACTCATCGGACGATGAATTAGTTTTGTTAGAAAATGTGTATTTTAAAATGCCAAAATAAGCTATACATCCTATTAATAGAGAAAGGAAACGTTTCGGAGAATACCACAATTTATTTGTAAAACAATTGAAATTTGATGATCAAAAACTCTATAGATATACAAGAATGACTCAAGAAACATTTTATTACATTTTAGACTTAGTGGACAAACATTTGATGAAAATTGGTGTAATTGGCATAAACAACCAATCCTTCCAGAAGAAAAGACTAAGTACGAAAAAATAAATTTATCGCTTAGTTATTAAAAGATAAAGTTATTAGATTTATAAAAAGTATATAATAAAAAAAATGGTTAAGAAAACATGTTTATTTGTCCATTGGTCATATACACTTGTACAGTCAACAGCAGATCAAGCGTAACACTTTGAGATTTGTACCGACCTTATTATTTTGTAATAAGAGCTATTTTAAAAAGTATCTAAGTGTTACCCTTGATATGCCGTCTTCCGTACAATCAACACGTCACTATTCATTCAAAAATATATGCGTGTCGTAGTTGTACGTGTTATCGCATAGTTGTTCATTAATTTTAAATGGCGGGCGGCGCCAGCGCTGACCGACGCGTGTTGAAGATTATCGGAACTTGTCGGCGACGTTCGGCGGTTATCGGCGACGTTCGGCGGTTATCGGCTCTTATCGGCGCCTTTTCATCTAAATTCCTGCGCCGGATACCTGCGTGGACCGGTCCCTATAAGCGCTGATAGGCTGCCAGCTTTCTTTCTGTATACGGCCCAACTCTATATACTACTAAAGGTATCTCCTTTTAATAGTCCATGTTTCAATTTAGACTTTCAAATATCGGACTTATTACAACGTGTCCAAATGGGAAGTTAACAATCCATCTTTTTACTTTTCATACTTGAGAATCCTCGTTAATTCCTCTTATTTGCAAAGAATATACTTCTCACGGATTAATATCACTCATGAGGTAAGTAGTAGATAAATTTATTCCACATATATTATGATAGCCTAATGGTTGTCTGGAAGGGAATGCCTTAAGGCAATATAAATTCGCCATATTTTGTACTATTTTTTGTGCAAAAAAGTTTAAATGAATAAATAAATATCTATACATGTATAAAATGAGTGTATCTTTGTTTCTCCTGTATGTGGTCCTATACTATTTAACCAATTACGGTGAATCTTTCACGAGTTATTTTGTGTGCACCCGCGAAGTTGTCTGACAAAAAAAAACTTTGTTGTTTTTTTTTTTTTTTTTGCGTTTTTACACCGTTCCGAATTACAAGCATTGCAACACACGCCAGGCACAGCTAGTAATAAAATTAGTAATAAAATTACGTAATCGTCAAAATACATAATACTATAAAAAAATATTTAAAATTACCGCCTTAGTAGTAATGTACTGACCTTTCTGTAAATGAGAGAACAGCAAGCAACCCTGAACTTCATGCCCATGTGTAAAATTGCCATCATGTATGGGTGTGTCACGAACACATTAAGAGCAGAACATAGAATCACAGCCCCAGCATATATAAAGGCTTCTCTGGGTTTCATCGTATTCTGTTCTGGGCCATAGTATTCTACTAGTTTACCTAAGAATACTGGTTGAGCTATCCTGTTGGAAAAACAAACAAAACACTTAAAAGAATTGTTATAACAATTAATAAGACACGCAACACGAGGAATTAGAGTATTCGCATAAATTAAAATACAACCAGGCAGCGGTAAACATCGCAAGTAGCTGACAAACAATGTATGTAGTAATTGAACATATCAACGATCGTTGATAAATGCTCAGCTCGGGACCTCATATTACGGTTGACTATTACATAAATACGGTTTTAATAATTTTCTACTAATTTCAATCTAAAATAAAATAAAAGAGCATCTAAAATTTTATACCAACAATTAACCAAACTTGATAAGTAAAACCTTACGACACTAGAATTTTCTGCTGTTTACAAACATAAATTGCACAAGGACAAACATTCAAACCCGAAACAATTATTTGTAGGCCATACAAATACTAAGGCCTATGTTCAGCAGTGGATTTGTGGAGAGCTGTAATGATGATGATGATGATACAAATACTTATTTGCTATTTCTTAAGATATGTTGCATTCTTTGAAACAAAGCTATTTATAAAAGTGGTAGAGCTATACTGCAGCTTTTAGTTGTAGCACGAATGGGTCGACTCGACTGGGGAAGGACCACGCTCTCATAGAATACCAACGTAAAATATCAGTGTAATACTGCTGTGTTTCCTATGGTGAGTGTAGAGAATCGGAGATCCATTTTACTGGAAAAGAGGCGTTCCATCTTAGACCACGCGGCTGACAACGCATCTGCATTTTAATTCGCAAACGAAGATAGATGTAGATGTTTATGGGCCACGGCAACCACTTACCATCAGGTGGACTGTGTGAAACACAGCAGCGTTAAGCTGCTATTTTACGCTGGTATTCTGTGAGAGCGTGGTCCTTCCTCGGTCGAGCCCACCCATTCGTGCTACAACCGTAATATAGCTGCAGCATGGCTCTACCACGTATAAAATTTTATTTGATGTTTCCAAATAAAATACTTTTAGTTATCATACTACTTCTGCAAAATCACATCTTTTTGCCAACCCTAACAACGTTTTCTGATAATTGTACAATTATCAGTGACATGCTACTGGTTATTCGCAGATGGTGAATCATGATGATTTATGTTCATCTTGCATTTTAAAAAGTAGGTTGCATTTCATCACTATCATCATCAGTACAACCCTTTATAGTTCACAGCTGAACATAGGGCTCCCCCTGTCCTGTGCCACACGCATCCATCGACTTCGTGCATCTCTTACTATGACGTTACTCTATCTATCATCGTCACACAGAAAAATTACGAGCGTATCGCTAACCATTGCTCGTGTAAAGCACCACGTCTCAGGTCCATGTGCATTACACGCAGGTTTTGGTACACTCTTCTTTTCAAATTTTACGTGGCGTGAAGATGTGTCTCAATCTTTTATTTTATTTAGAAAACCAACAGCTCTTATGAATATAAAAAGACAATAATTCATAAATGGTTATAAAATGATAATCTCCCGAACGTTTATTGAAATTCCATCTGACAGATAAAATACCATGAACTCATTACGGGGAACTGCGTCATGTTGCGAGCGGTCCGATGCTACGTCAATAAACGGACAATTAATATCAACAAGCGAATATGACGTTACTCTATCTATCATCGTCACACAGAAAAATTACGAGCGTATCGCTAACCATTGCTCGTGTAAAGCACCACGTCTCAGGTCCATGTGCATTACACGCAGGTTTTGGTACACTCTTCTTTTCAAATTTTACGTGGCGTGAAGATGTGTCTCAATCTTTTATTTTATTTAGAAAACCAACAGCTCTTATGAATATAAAAAGACAATAATTCATAAATGGTTATAAAATGATAATCTCCCGAACGTTTATTGAAATTCCATCTGACAGATAAAATACCATGAACTCATTACGGGGAACTGCGTCATGTTGCGAGCGGTCCGATGCTACGTCAATAAACGGACAATTAATATCAACAAGCGAATGCTCACTTCTTATCCGTTCCATTATGAAATCGCGTGCGAGCCATCGCAACTTGATTACGAAGAATCATAAGACGCCTGCTCATCAACAGCTTTTCGGCTTGACTAAAGTAGCCGATGAATAAACCCAACATGCGAGGTTGTTGGATCCTAGAAGGATAAGGAAAAGGATATATGTTAAGGATTAAGTACATTGGGAAGTAAGGATAGAGTAAAAGGAATGCCTAGTGGAAGCCTAATGCCCGAACCTCAGTCGATATGGTGTATTATGTTAATTGCTTTAAATATTTAATTATCATAATATATTAAATAAAATATTTTGTTAAAAATATGTACAAGTTCTTCATTAAATCATAGTAATATCGTAGTAAAAAGTAAAAAAATATGCTCCTTTTTATGTAAAATTATTCTTATTAAAAAAAGGAACCAACGTTTTATCAATATAAGCCATAAATCGTATAAAATATTATTACCCGAAACCAAAAAAACATCTGAGAAGAAGATGATTGGGGCATCTGAGAAGAAGATGATCATCTACCATCAGATAATTCCGCCTAGCACTCCGCCTGTATTAACATATTATCACTCCCTGTCATAAAATTTTAAATCATTATTTTCATTGCTATTACTTATGAGAGTAGCCGAATAAGGTTGTGAATTTTGTGCAAGGGAATTATAAAAAAAACAAACTATTTTTCAACCGACTTCAAAAAGGAGGTACTTAATTCGATTGTTGTGTGTTACCTCATAACTTTTTTCTCGGTGAATAGATTTCTAGGATTTTGTTTTTTGAAAGCAGGTTCTTCTCATGTTGTCCCGTATAAATCTGATCAAGGTCTGACCAGTACCACTTGTTTCAATATAAAGCCATAAATCGTTACAGCCTAAAGTACAAAAATGATCGAGGAGAACATAAACACAGACATCATACACATACAATATGCATTAATATCGTTATGCATGAAATAGTATCTATCTGTTACACTGTCTTCCTTCTCGTCTTACTTTATAAGCATGATATATAATATTGTCAGTGTGCATTTCATATTAAGAAAGACATTCTATTTTTAACCGACTGCAAAAAGGAGTAGGTTCTATGTTCGACTGTATGTATTTGTTTATTACTGTCCGAATGCGTAAGTAACCGTCACCACTGCGGGCGTCATAACTGTCGACAGAAAGTAATGGAAGGAAACTCGCGTTTCTGCGAACTAAAGTTGATTAACCATATCAATAATTTAAAATTTAAAATTTTGTACAACCGACTTCAATATAATTTTTTAAGAATAACTCAAAAACTATTGTTCCGACCTTGGTTTATGTAACCACATGTGAAGCACAAGCTTTCAAATAAAAAACTAATCATCGAAATCGGTTCACCCAAAAAGAAGTTATGAGGTAACACACATAAAAAAATACAGTCGAATTGAGTAGGTACATCCTGTTTGAAGTCGGTAGAAAAATGGGCCACTTCTAAGGTATATGGCTGAAGAGCACATATACCATTGGATGTTAATAATGGTACTTAATGGTGATGATGACGATGAAATTCTTTTTAAGATGTTGGCAACAGCTCATGAGATTCTTATATCGGACGAGTTACGCAAATAATTTAAAATTAACTTAAAAACTATTGGTCTGACCTTGATCAAATTCATATGGGAGCACACGAGAAGTATCAGCTTTCATATAAAAAAAGAATCATCGAAATCGGTCAACCCAGTAAAAAGTTATGAGTTAACACACATTTAAAAAAAACATACGCGTCGAATTGAGTACAGTCTCCTTTTTGGAAGTCGGCAGAAAAAGAAAAAGAAGCGCGATGTCACAACACTTGTAACTTTTCTATTAAAAAACTTAAAACAGTTAATTACTTAAACTAAATTGAGTAGTATTTCTTGTACTATTTTATTCTGTGGTAGTATGCAATCGAAAAAAAGTATTTTCACAAAAAATAGGGGACATAGTTTAAGAATTAATATAAGAAAAACTCCATTCTCTATTTTTCCTTAAAATGTATAAGGGACCACCCCTGAAGTATAACTTATTTAATTAAAACAAATCGTTCAAATCGGTTTGCCTGTTTACGAGAAATCAGTGAACATACAACCTTCTAGTTTTTTGAACTCAAAATAACCGTATTCTGTTTTCAAATATGAATATGAGATACGTTATTTTTATTAATTTTACCAAAATATTTTCGGATGCATCATAAGAGGTCAGTTTACCAGTTTTTTATATTCATAAACTGTATTCGAACCCACGACCTTTCGAGTTCGCGGTCCGCGCCCTGCCATTAGGCTACTGACGCTTGAAACGAGCCTATTTGGTTCTTGTCAGAACCTAAATACAAGTTGTGTCCACGACTTTGTGCATATTCACTTCTAGAATTCGTGCAAACCTAAATTGTTTTGATGAGGAAAAGGAGGAGTGAAATTCCACTAGTCTTGCAGTCTTGCTACATTTTTTGCAATAATTATTGTCATTTGTAAGTATAAATAGACAGGCAAAGAATTGATGTATGAATTAATGACATTTGCGGTTCTTTACTCAAAGAAATATAATCTTAAGTCGACGTAGACCACAATATGGGACTTTCGCTATAGAGCGGGCTTAAGCAATTAGACGAATGAACCAGGCAGGTACTAGTGGTTAGTTTATAATCCAATATAACTAGGTATTAGAGAGAGCGCTAATTAGTCAAGCTAATGTTATCCAATTACATGCATTTACATTTAAAAAAAATTTACTAAGAGAAGATTAAATGGTACTATTTGCGATTGTATAAACACGATAAGAACACTTGTTGGTAAATAATATATAATACACTTGTACTAATAATAATAATACAAAACTGTCGATTGTTTTTGTTGAATATCAGAGTTTGACACTAGCGCTCTTAAACATTGTATAATGGTGTTTGCTGTAAGATTTCTCAACACAACCGTAACGATCTATTGTCATTATTCGGAGAAATATTATTTAACTGAAACGTAATAATATCTGCCCGAGTCGTAGGTATTTTACCTCCTCATTCT